TTTGTTTGTACACTGTTTTTAGAAGCAGTGAACCTGTCAATTAACATTTCACAGAAAAAAAGCTATCAGAAAAGGCGTATCAGATATAATGAAATCAAACCTTCTATGGAGAAAGAGGAGAGCGACATCTCGAGGCAGCCAGGCTGAGATGACACCCCTGAAAGCCCCCAAGTCCTTAGCACTGTTGATAAGTAATAGAATAAAAAAAGACATTACTTAAATATAGAAACATACAGTTATTTGCATGGCTACAGCCAATAATCCATACAGTAGGAAGAGTTTAAGTTGAGAAGATCTTCCCATTACTCTTCTTGCTGTTTAGACCTTCAGCACTGCTCTGCATCGTCTAGACCCTCTATAGCACCAAGTTACTGGTGACTAATATACAGGATATATACTTTGGCTATCTTCCTCTACAATACAGAGAGAAGACTAGTGTCTTTGTCAGTGTGTATTTGGCTTCAGCAAGGCCAAAACCTCACTTCTGAGCAGCCTAGGAAGTTTTAGCAATTCTTATCACGGTGTTCACATAAAGATTTTGATGACTGTAGAGCAGAGATAACGGCATCTCTTTAAGGAATGGGAAGGCTACTGTTGTATAATCATCTCCAGGAAGAGGTCTCCTTATATGAAGTACACAGAACATAAACTGTAGAGAACTATACTTTATAGAGAACGTCACAATATTTCCTCTCCTTCCTAGTAGTCAGACTAAAGCAGCATGAAGAATAAATTTTTTGATGGAAGGAAGATGAAAGTCTGTTTCCACTGGTGAGGGATGGGAGCTAGAGTAGGTGATGGAAAACCAAGCTCTATGGTATAGTCAAGCTCTATGTGTTTTATAGAAAGTCTACCAAAAACCAGGCTCTATTGTTTTATTCAAAACCACCTCAAATAGTGTATTGGGAAATAAACATATACAAGCAAACCGCTGTGCCAGAATGTGTCACAAGCTTTTTATACAGATTCACAGTGATAAATAGACACAAAGACATTCCCTTCAATCTATACCACATACTTACAAAGAATACAAAGTGCAGCTTTTTAATATTATACAGTCTTACTCAGAGGCGTTTCACCTACAAGTCTTGCATGTAAATAATTTCTTTTAAACCAGAGGTTTCCAAATTGTAACAAGCACTAAAATTGCTGAATCCAGATCATTAGGACAGCATTGTTGGCACGGGCTCCTTTTAATGTCCGTTTCCACCTTCTGAGAGTATGCGTGATGGCTCGGTGTACTTTGCTGTCAGTAAGTAGAAGAGGGCAGGTGCAGGTACCAAGGCAAGCAACGGCAGGTCCTGCTCAAGCTTATCCAGTTTGGAAATGGAGATGATTCCATAGGCATGAAGTAACCAGTGGCTGAAGAGGACAACAAGCCTTTTCTTCCTGACAAGAAGATCCTTGAAAGACTTGCAAAATAAACACAATATCCTGTTAGCATTCAGCCTGTCACCTAGCACCTGATGTTTAAGAGATGCTACAGATCATGCACAGAGACTGTATGAGGCCTCCTGGGTTTGAGCCCTTCCAGCACATAACGCAGTTTCTCAGTGCACCACGAGAGGGAAGTCTCACAGGCGCTTCCTCCAGCTAAGCGGAGAAGTCATAAAGGAAGAGGCTTAAACACAGAATACACTGCTGAGAAAGGGCAAGAGACAAAGTGGTCTCTGCTCATTCAAGTGTTTTACGTTACGAGTTTTAACACAGGAAACACGTTTACCTACCTCCACTTCAGAAGCAGACATGTACACAGCCAGCGTAACCAAAGACAACACCAGTATGATGTAAGGAAACGCATAATCTAAAGGCAAACATCGAACACATTAGCGGGAAAAAGAATGCACTATATACATTTCAGCAGAGAGAGTTTTTCCATATATAGCCATGGGCATGAAGTAAACTAAGCTACTATAGCCCACCTCTTACTGTCACATCAAACATGCACAACGGCAAGCGTCAGCCAAGCACAACTATTCAACACTTCTGCCTTAGGTTTTCAAACGTTTTCTAGTATTTCTAGGTGGAGTTACTGTACACTTAAATCACTAATTGAAAAAGGCAGCTAATGAGAAAAGTAGTCAGGCTGAGTGGGGATTTTGTGGCACCTGTCCCCTTCATGTGACAAGTATGCTGGAAGCTAAACAAAAAATAGCTGATCTCCCCAAACTTATACTTTAATAAACCTCTGAAATCAGACAAACTCTACCTTAGCAGAAAGTGGAACTAACTCCCTCTGAAACAACTCCCTCCCATACCCGCTCTGTTCCCTTTTTGGGAAAGGCACCACCGGCAGAGGCAAAGCAGTGTTGGGCAGGAGCCTGGGTAGGACAGGGCAGAAATGAGCAACCTTTTCAGTAAGACTCCTCCCAGTAACCTTAAGCAATGTCCTTATTCTCAAAGCAAAAGGAGCATCATGTCCCTTCTGCCCCTCCCCTAAGTCAGTTGTTTGTTAGTGTGTGTTTGTAAGTGTGTGTGTTAGTGTTATTAGGAGAGAACTCACAGAGCAGGCCTCCTCCAACGGCCTGAAGCACAGTGAGGACAGGGAAGAAGTAAAGTGCTGCATAAATGCTTTTAAATCGATCTGACTTTCCTAAACCACAAGCAATTTTCTTAACCAGAAGAGGCCGAAGTAGCATCATCAACACAAGACAGAAGGCATAATATATAAACACAATGGTGTACCTAGGAAGAAAAAAAAAAAA